TTAGATAAGGCATTATGGAACTGGTTCTCTTTTCCTTTTCTGTGCAGTATTTCATATCTTAAGTCTTCCAATTTTAGTGACCAATGCATAAGTTTACCAGTTAACGTCAGAGCTGTCTGTAACCATTTCAAAGCAGCAGAGTCAGTTATAACTTTAAATTCGTCCCCATCTAGGCATATCTGAAATTTTTCTACAACCCAGACTATGGCTAGACATTCTAAATCTGTAGTAGTATAGTTTCTTTCTACATATGCTGTAACACCATTTTGACACAGAACTGCTCCTAATTCATGGAGCATTTAAAGCATCAGTATGCAAAAAAAATAGTATTCGCCTTTTCTTGGAAGTTGCAAGACAGGAGATTCACATAAAGCATGCTTTAATTTCTAGAATACATCCTCACACTGGAGAATCCGTTTCCACCTAATACACTTTCTTTGTAATTGATAAAAAGGATATAAAGGTTACGAAATTGTAGCAAAGTTTGGAATGAACCGATTGTATCAGGTCCACATACCAAAGAATGTGGTTAAATTTTACCAGCGGATAATACCGAGCAGCAGTTTCATTTCTGACTTTCGGAATATAAGACTGTTATGCTGTACAGTGTCGAATGCTTTCTTAATATTGAGAAAGTATGCGACAGTGCATCCTTTTTTTTTGTTGTTGTTGTTAAAGCTGTCTATAATGCATTCAGTTAATCTAACTAAATGATCGGTTGTTATCTAAATTATCTGAATCCATGTTGTACTTCAGGTAATTGAGGTGTTTTGTCCAGAAATGTAGAAAGTCTGTTGTTGATTATTCGTTATAGAATTTTGCCTATGGTGCTGGTCAGGCTGATTGGACGGTAACTATTCAGTTTATTCGCTGGTTCCTCTTATTTATGGAAAATTGAGACATTCGCTTTCTTCCAAGTAACTGTAACGTAACCGGAGTTTAGAGATAAATTGAAAAGCGCCGTGAGGTGTTAAAACAATATCCGAGTACCTTTTTTGAGGAGAATGGTTTGTATGTCATTTTTTCCTGAAGCTTTGTTTTTTGTTTTTGTTTTGCTTTTATTGCTTGTAAAACTTCTATTTCGGTACTTTCCTTTGTCATCATTTGTGATATAAAGTCATTGTCTTTATCATCATTTGATGTTTTAATGTTGTTTATATTTGTTGGGAATAGTGATTTGTATATATTTATGTTAATTATTACAAACTGATTTACTTCGTTGTCAAAGTGTGTATTCATGTCTGGTTCATGATGTGTTCTGTAAGTGTTGTTTGAAGGCTTCTGCCTTGTCTTTGTTCGTGTGTGCTATAGTGTTTATGACTTCTAGTGTTACGTATTTACGTGTTGCATTTTCTCCGTTTTTAGACGGGTTCAGAATGGTTTTGATTCTGTTTTTTCGTTTAGTTGGGACCAGAATTACTCGTATTGTTCTTGTTTTAGAAGTTTTACTTTTGTTCGTTGTTTCTTAGTGTGTTTATTTGTGTCTTAACAGTATGTATGTATCTATTTCTGATGGATTCGCGGCAGTATGAGTAATGGTTTTAGGCAGTAGTTGTTCCAATACTCAATCAGATTCGTATACGTCGGAGTAGCATCATTTACTAAAACTACATTGGTATCATCTATGAAATCTAATAATCCTCTTCCATTTGCATTTGTTATCCTGCATCCAAAATTTATGTGTTTACTATTAAAGTCTCCCATACATGTAGAGTTTGTATTGTGATAGTAAATATTATTCAGTAATTCTATGTCTATAAGCTTTGTGAGTGAACAGTATATGCCAGCCACTGTTACGTAGATGCTATTATTTAAATATATATCAACAACCATGCAAGTCTGCTAGTTGTATATAATAATATTTCACTTGTAACTATTATATCTCGGTAAGAAGGTTTGTTGAATGATTTCTGCAATCTCGTGTTTCTTGGAAGCAAGGGCACCTTGGATGTTGATATGCTGGACTGTGAATTTATGAGTATAAGTATCGCATGATTGATGTAATTCTCTCTGATAGTTGTGTTTTTGGCTATGGTGACTATAAGTTCAATATAGTCTTTTGTCTGTGCCGGTTTAGAATATTCAGAAGTAAAGTCAGTGAATATGTTTTTAATAATATCCATGAATATGTGTGTTCATTTCTCCTGTTGTTTTTGTTTTATTCTCAAATTCACTTGTTTTTTTAGGCTTGTGGGTTTTGTGTTGTTACGTTGGTGTTGGTATTTTCTGTTGGTGGTTGCGCTTTTTGTTGTTGCTGGTTTGTTGTTTTAAGCATTTTGCGTATGTTGTATTTTTTTAGTAATGATTGCTTTGTTTGTTGAGTGGTGTGTGGGTTTTTGTGGTTTTTTTTACCTACCACCATGTCCAAAGTTGAACAAAAAACGGGGCCTGGCTAACTAATGAATGAATATTTGCTGTAAAATTATTATCAGTGCTAAATGTGTAGCTACCAGTTTGGCCGCCAATTTTAATTTCATTCCTTAAAGTCGTACACTCAATCTATTTTTTTGGCCGCACCTAATATATGTTTGATTAGACAAATTTAAAAAGTGCAAACTTGTACTTGATGTTTAATATTTAGTTATTCTGTTCAAAGAAGAATACTACTCTAAAAGAGAGTTATTAGTGATCAGAGAGAGAAGGAGTCTCGGGTTTCATAAGATCTCTAGCGGATCATTAAAGACTCTTCACTTTATTCATGTAGAAAATGCTGAAAACGAATTATGATAAATACAGAATTAACAGACAAAGATTTAAACGTTTACGTATATTGAAAAAATAAAACCTCATTCTTTGCAGATATATAACAAGATAAATATTGTACACTGTGAAATAATTATTTGCATATAATAAATATAAGAAAAAGTACAATCATGGGTATTATATAGAAGAATGAAATGCTCAGATTTCAAATAATTCATTCAATAATTATTGGTCATAAGTAAAGCACAAAAGTGGAAAAATCTTTAAAGATTTAATTTTGAAGTCGATAATAAAACAACTGATATGTTCCATATCCTTGATAAGTGGTGTCCACTAGTGATCCGCTGTCATGTCTTGGGTGTAATAGCTGCTTTAATTTTTCCCCGTTTGATATTATCTTCTGTTTATTAATTTTCCTTTGTTTACAGGTAAAATTAAGAGACATTAGAAATTGTGCTATAAACACACCGGCTATAACTTTTAATGTTCAAGAAAGCAATCACATAATGGAATTAAAAATGCAGGCAAATGTAGAAAAATTGCGATACACATTTCTTGAACAAAAATCTAAAGGACTAACAAAAGTATGTAGTGTTAAAAATATAATAGCCTTAACATTGATGTCTTATGACAAATATAATTATCTATTATATGCTTAAAGTAACTGAAAAATAATATATTTATTAGAAATTAATGACAAGATTAATCCGAGTGTCAAAAGAGGTTCCAGGAAATTTGATTTCACACGCTATTTATTCTTAGGGATCATGCAGGTTTTTCTAGCATAATAATCATTAAATATTTAACCACTAATTTCTATTTATTAGGCCCGGTATGGCTGGGTGGTTAGGGCGCTCGACTCGCAATCTGAGGGTCGCGAGTTCGAATCCCCGTCACACCAAACATGCTCGCCCTTTCAGCCGTGAGGGCGTTATAACGTCTCGGCCAATCACACTATTCGTTGGTAAAAGAGTAGCCCAAGAGTTGGCGGAGGGTGGTGATGACTAGCTGCCTTACACTGCTAAATTAGCGACGGCTAACGCAGATAGCCCTCGTGTAGCTTTGCGCGAAATTCAAAACAAACAAACAAATCCTATTTATTTTATAGTCATGAGGCAAATCACTGCACAAAATACAGCTTTCGATGTCAACAAATAGTGTTGAAAAGGTGAGCTTTTATGTCTCTTTCATACATGTTTAGACATATTTTATGTGAAACTTGGGATTGTTTTCTATTCCGCGATCTGCTTGCCGTAGAGCTTCCTTCCTTCCTGTCATAAGTACACAAAAAAGAAAAATAACGAAGTTGAAGTAGTGAGTTTAGTGGTTGAGTTTGACTTTTTTTGTCATTTCGTTATGCTATTCTTCTATTTTTAAGCAACAAAATAAAATCAAGTCAAACTGTGCCAAGATCAACGCCAAACCTCCAATGAATATAATGGTTTTAGAAGTAAAAGAATTAAATTTTGAAGGGATGCGACAAGAATTAAATGTTGTGAAGCTGAGTTATTTCGAGACACTGATCAGATGTGGGAAATTTTTAAAGATAAAATTATAAATATTCAAGGCAAACATATCCCTTATAAAAAATAAAATGGTATGTATATTAAAGCAGAGATATAATGCTCACAAAGAAAAACAAGCCTTGAGTTTTATTATAATTGTATCTTATCATTTTAAACTTTGTTGCAGAATTCTTTATGTTAGCCACGCTGATTTCTATACTGATTAAAACTGAACGTTGAATTAGCTTTAGATATTTCAATTTGGAGCACTCAAAGAAATCCATAGTTTGATAGTTGTTGTTTTTGAGCTATGACAACTTCTGTAAGTAATGAAGGTTCAAAGGATACCATATTATCCCCAGCTAATGATCTGGCTGAATGAGCTATGTAAACTGTCAAGTGTACCTTTGTTAAATTTGTAATTCGGAACTAAACTGAATTGGATAATCACCTGTGAAATTCTATAATAATACTAACCAACAGATCACAATAATACTGAATATTGCCCTATCTTATTAATATAATTTGATTAATAAATATAGTGGAGTTAAAACTGAACAGTAAAAGGATGCCAATTTGAATGCAGAGATTAAGTTTAGCTCAATTATGCATCAGCCATACTTGGGTCTAAGTGTATAGCTACTTTGTATTTTTTTAGGAATCAATCAGCACATGATGTGGCATAATATGTCAGTTTTCTCAAGATTTTCATAAACTGTCTTCTGTAAACTATGTTTATTATACTTGTGTAAAATAGAAAAATGTTGAGTATAAGACATAGGTATGAGGCAATTCAAGAAAAGTACATCTTTATTTAACAGAATACATTTTATGATAAATACAAGGAGTGCAATCATATAATTATTATAATATGCTTTTATTGCAATATTTTGCTCACTTTCCTCGACGACAAATCATATCTATTTTCAGATGGTCGATCCAAGTATGATATAATCTCAACCTTACTTACACATCTGAAGTAATCTTCAATCTAGATATTAATCCGTTAGTTGATTTAACTTTTGTATCAGAAATTATTTTCCATCAGAACCTTTGTAATAGTTTTTTTTTATAACTGTTAAGTGGACTAGGATTCTGAGTCCTTATTCTCAGAGTAAATCAAAAATGAATTCTCACATTTTATCTACATATATGTAAATATGTCAACTAAAAACTATTTCAAGATTTCGGATGCCTCTTTTCTTTTACTTCAGCCATTCAGAGAAAGAAGTAACAGGTGTTCTGTCTAGCTGATTCTGAATGAGGGTTTTAATTTGGTTATCAAACCTTAATTGTAGCCGCCATCCAATTAACTCCACAAATAAGTTGGCAAACAATTCCACTAACCTGCAAAATAACCCACAATCACTGATATTGAAGGTAGGTGTGGCTTGACTAGTGATCACCAGGTTCTTAACCATTGAGCTGTTCTGCGGGCAAGTGAATTTGATTTTCATCATTGTTTGAGCCTCTAGACGAGGAATCTGTAAAGTGATAGAAGTAGTCATTGTCCTGAGAAAGAGAGGCTTTCTACAGTCACAGGAGACATGTGGGTTATCCATAGCTAAAAGAGTGGATACAACAACCTCATTACCATAACAAATAATTTGAGGAGATTGTATCTGTTTTAATGTGCTCAGACCAGAAGCTTGACAGTTATTACATGTAAAACGACCAAATATCTGAGGTGAATCAAAACAGCAGAAGGGATCGGGAATTGAAATAGCTGTCTCTCTTACCACATGTGATAAATAACTATTAACAACCTGGAATACAGTGGAGTGGCAAGTGTCCCGTTTATTTATATGATGAATTTCTTTGCCTTCAAGTCCTATAACATAAAAAAATATATTTGATAAAATGTTGATTTTCTGAGCTAAACAGAACATGAAAATGAAACGTGAATTATAGTAAAAGTACCTTCAGCTATATATAACAATAAAGTCAACTTGAACTCATAAAATCAATTAAATCGTAACTTAAAGTATTATGTTGTATGTATAAATGGTGTTTCACAAGAAAATCTATTATTGTCATGGCAAAAGGGAGGGAGTAACCGTCTGTTGACTTGCCAGTTCTTTTAAAGAAGTGGAATGAAACAACGTTATAAAAAATATTTTATCTTTCACTGTTCATCCCAGTTGATAAGTTCTAGTATTGAACAAAAAGCTTCTTTGGCAGTAATTTGCGGATAACGAAAGAAATATCTGAAATATTATTTTTAAGCGCCTATGATTCTGAGCCCGCAATGGAGAAATGAAGGAGAACATGAAAAAAACTTCTGTAGTTAACGCGATTTTTATCACAAATTTTAATATGAATAATCATATGTATATGATACATGAAGAAATGAGACAATTAATTTTTTAATATTACCATTAGTGTTACTGCATGAAAAACGTTAATTAAGATTTGACACTCAGATCTGGTTTTCAGAACTAATATATTTAGGAATGTTATGTTATTAACAACCAGGTGTCAGGAATTTAAGAAATAATGTCTCTGTTAAGTTTTATTTGTTTGTGTGTTTTAGAATTTTCGCGCTAAGCCGCACAAAGGGCAATCCATGCCTAGCCATCTCTACAAAAGAGAAGGCAACTAGTCAAAAGCATCACGTGCAAGGTGGTTTGATGCTTCATTTACCATGTGAAGCAAAGTAGGAAGCTACTTTAAATTACTCGGGCTACCAAAGAAAGAATTTAAAGAGAAAATGTTACCAGCTAAATCAATATAAATGTTCTTTAATTTTATGAAAATTACGGATACATTAGTGACATCCGGGAAAAATATTTCCGGAATGTTTTGAATGCTTCATGAAACAGGGAGAAAATATCATAAGCAGAAGAGGCTTATGTTTCCCAACCTTAAATAAACGCAAGGCAAATCATCTTCTACATTTGTATTATTGAGAATTCTCGCTTCTGCATTATTACAGCTCAAAAATACACACACTGTATGTATTTGTGCCTGTCATCTTAACAGACAATTGGGGATATTTTCACTCTCAGTGTAAAACTCAATTTCGCTCAAGAAATCAATGAGCAAAAATGTGTGTGACTTGGAATTGGAAAATTGATTGATGAGGATGTGTAAAAAATGTCGAAGAAGCAATAGAACTACAAAGAATCTTGAAATCATTAGCATATTTAGTCTTTTAGTTGAAACAGACTGGGTTTGTTGAATTTTTTGCAAAGGTACTTAAGAGTTATCTGCACTAACCGTTCTTAATTTGGAAATGATACACTAGAGGAGTTACTCAACGTCACCCTCTGCCAACTCTTAAACTAGTGGGATTGATAATCATGTTATAGCGCCATCATAGTTGAAAACACGAACATGTTCAGCGACGGAATTGGATCCCGCGACACACAGAGTCGAGCTCCCTAACCACAAGCAAATTAAACCAAGGATTTGTCGATTGCAGATCAGCAACAACTTCTTGAAGAAACTTGCCAACAAGATTATAAGAACTCATGAAATAAAATTGAACAATACACTATGAGTCCATACTCCTAAAAGACATTTTGGGCACTTCTGAAGGCATCATTTAGGGTGAAATTTCCAATATTTTTGCTTTCTACAGATGAGTACACAATACCGTGTATTTTAGTTAAAATTAAATTTAAATTCAAACCATCCGACTAAGGAGGGTTTGTAAAAGTGCTGGAAAAGATGTTGAGTTTAGTTTAATATTAGTTATTCTCTCATAGTCCAAAATGAGAAACAAGACTTCTATTAGTTAAATTCCTAAACTATACTGCAACTCAGAAATTAGAAATCTTAAGAATTTCTGTATCAGTAGTTGCCCTGTATTCTGTCCACTCCAAACTCTTCCACTAACTGAAGGAGAAACTGCCATATTTGGGAAAAATTCATTATTTCAATAATATTTTGCTGGCCGATGCAAAACTGGTACTGTTTTATCAATCTCTGCAACCATAAATTGTACTTCATCCTGAATTTTGAGTGTAACTTTTTTGTAACTTCAAATGGAAAAGGCACTTGTAGCGTTATCAAGGGGGAAAAATCAAGGAGTAAACTAAAAAACGAACTCAAAGGATATAATCATTTTCATTCTGCAATAATATAATTCATAGCCTAGCTTTCACCTTATTCTTTAAGCAAGAGATTAGCACACTTGCTGTCAACCTAGAGCAGAAGTTAAAAATATTATTTATCATTAAAGACACATAATGCTTATAAAATATATTCACGTTTCCCAGATCCAGAACATGTTCCCTCTAGATCAGTTTTCATTGTTGTTTATAGAAGAGTGAGTTTTATTTCTACCAACTGTATAGATGAATACAGGTTTGGAATAATCTGAATCTTTTTTGAAAAATTTGGGGTCTTTTACATGAAATCTGTGAACCAAGAACTGACTAGAGAAGAATGGCAAAATCTCAATACTCATTGGAAATATACTTTGTAAGGTTCAATATCCAAGCCTGACTTTATTTTCCAAAAACACCACAGATTCTAGGATCATGATCTCAAAAAGACTCGGAAAATATAGAGTCAAAGAAAGTGGTTTTGAGTGGCGTAGATTTCATATAAAATATAATGTTATATATTGTTGTCACGATATTATGCTGTTCATATCACTTGATTCAAAGAACATTTTTATTCCGCTATTTATGAATTGTGTGTGTCACATGAACATTATTGAAATTTCTCTGGAATGTAAGATTAAGTAACTTTGGTTTCCTTACAACAAACAAATATTTTTACTTCCCTATAACTTTTGATGAGAAGCATATCAATTTACCATTCTGTGTTTTTCTACAAAAGGCATTATTTATATTATTTGTGGCATTGTCATAAAATAATCAGTAAAATGACACTTAACACAAATTTCTTGAAATAATTACTTTTTATTTGAAAGATTGGTTAATCGCTGGGGTCACTCATCAAGCAAATTTTTAATCCATGATTAGATCATACTGAAGAGTATTTATGTTTTGCCTTCGACACCCTATATTTCTCTCTTGGGTGATATGTCTTGGAATTATTCAATACATCGGAAGCAAACGATTATTTATAGTTGCTATAATTATAACGGTCTACCTACCGGTGATGGTATGTATTAGATACCTCAGTTTTAATCAGTACATTGCGAATAAATAGAAATATTTATCTAAGTGTAAAAATTTCTAAGATTTTTTATGATACGAATAAAAATATGTAGATATACATACAATGTTGCCTCTTTAGTGTCACATGTTGTTCCAATTAAGTTTAACGTTAATCATGTGACTAGTTAAGACTCTGTACAGCTTTCGGAAAGGTTAAGAAAAAACTCTATTATCAGTATTTTCTGGTTCCACTTCCTGATGGTAACCTGATTAATTGTGTTGGTATTTGCTAGTTAGTTCAACTGAGTTTCAAATGAATGTAATCATAAAATGTTACATTGCATCAGTATTTGCTCGTCAGTTGAACTCCTAGCTTGGCCAACTAAGTACACCATGTCTTTCTTGAGTAATCATTCATATATATATAGACTGGAATAAATTGCAAAACTAACATTATCCCCAAACGTTTGCAATAGGTGGCATTTGTGTAATGTTAGTGAGGTGAGAAACAATTAGGTACTCTTATCGATTTCTTGCTTTTGGAAACTGTAATTGCGAAGTTATAAATAATCTATGTTATATATTATGTGCTATAAGCTTTTATTAGTTTTCAACCAGCAAAAATAAATGCGTGTTAAATTTTTCATTTACTGTGCCCCCCTGTTGACATGCTATGAAACTTTTAGCTATACTGCCTTCTATTATTCCCTAGACTAAGCTGCGTTTGGCTAACAGGTGAGCTTTCAAATTAAGAGGTTTGTAGAATTTTTATCATCTCAGATAGCATTGCCATTCCTTGACCTCAATATAATGTGCATTTATATTGGATGGCGTCATATTAAGTTTACATAAAAATGATGCTTCCTAATGAATGCAACCACATTGGAAATATAATACTTGTTATGGTTGTTGTTAAGCACAAAGCTACACAATTGGTTATTTGTGTTCTGCTATCCGGAGTATCGAACCCCGATTGTTAACGTTAAAAGCCCTCAGACTTACCTCTGAGCCACTTGGTTAGAAATATCATAAAATAATGGCACCTATGGATATAGACTTACTGAAAGAGGTGCAATAACATAGGCAAATGGACTCTTCACTAGGCACAACCGTGTTCTATATCTGTCGGAGTTTAAAGCTATTAAATTCTAGATACAGTAATTAATTATTAACCACATCCCTTCAAGGGTATTAGTATTTTCCTTTAAATAGACTACTAATTTTCCAATCTCCTCATAACTCATATATAATGATTATCTTGTAATCAACTAATAACTAGCCAGACTTCTGCATCAATTATATTATTATCTGTAATCACCATGCAACCTCGATGAAAGAAGGGTAAAAGACTCCTAGTGAAGAGTCTGGAGTTACAGAGTTTATCTCTATACACCCAAGGTAATTGTCTTGGATGATTTCGACAAAGATATAAGATAAAGGACAGAAATAAGTTCTGTAAGGACCAATAACAAAGTGGGTTTTGGGCTACAGTCTGATGGAATAGTCCACTTGTTGCTGGAAGACCCCACTTCTACTAAAAATATTTTAGAAGAATTCTTGATACAAGATATTAAAAACCCTATAACCCGAGCGCTTTCGAAAGGTGGACCTTTCTTCTTCAGGGGCTAACTGCAGTTATACCGATTATTACCGAGAGAATTCCTCGTGTTAACTTAACTTATTCATAGCCATGAATCTAATAGAATTAAATAGAATGTTTTATAGTTAATGTTGTTTTAAGATAACCTTGACAGTTTCAATATAAATGAAATGTTCAAAAGTGTATAAATGAAGAAGTTATTTGATGTGTATTCAGTTGTCTCAGTGTGAGTTCTTTATTCCGCACGTAAACTTCCTCGAATTATTGGCTTGTGTGCTCCGCTCGCGACAGCACGACCCGAAATCCAAATAAATTATTTTCTAACGAGTGTATAGTCGAACCCAAGAACCAAGCCCACGGGCTGCTCACATGTCTATTAAATTGGTGAAATAACTGAACAGTAGGTGCTTTTTTGGAGGTATAGATAAATTCGTTTTATTTAAATTCTATAATTTGTTTAATCATTCAATAATAGTTTCTCGTCATTTTTGACAGGCTTTTATACTAGTATTGTTATAAAAAACGTCTGTGAAAAAAGGGCTTATATTGATTTGCCCCAATGAAAGCTTTAAATAAATAAAATCTATCATAAAATGTCAATTCTGTGGCAGTTTCCATCAAAATCAATGGCACAATTAAAGGATCTGTGAAGATGTTATATATATTTCCCCTAATGACACTATGGCTACTAGATTATGTAAAATTATATTTAATTGTTACAGTTAGAACAGTTTTGTAGGCCGGATACTTTACAGCAGGTGTCTGTGAGTTGTTGGCGATAAATTTCAACAATACACAAACAGCAACACAGTCCACTTGTTTTGAAATAATATAAGAAAACAGGTCAAACGTATATACACATGTTCGTTACACTGATGGTTATGACAGTTGTATCCAGAGCTTTAAATAATTGTATATTTTTCGTCAAACTGGCTGGTTCACTTACTTTAGAATACAACTGACAAGACGAATTATTCTTCTCTGCTCTGTTATTAAAATACAGTGTGTGAAAATGTTAATTTAAAAATCGCCCCTATACGTTGTTTATCGCTAAACTCACAATCATCCAGTCTAGATGTAAATATTAATTTTTCGACGCGTATTTATATACTGACAGAAGTCTAGAACATTCCACGCAATACTAGATATTCAGACGCAATAATACTTAATTGAAACAATAAGAAAAATTCAGAAAGTTGTAGTAACATGACGCGACAATATAACAATTGCTAATTCATAACAACTGAACGTACACGCTACACAACTCATGATTGTAAACAGTCACGTAAACAAACTTGCCATAAACTCTCACCTCTAAAAATACCCCCCCTCCAGTGTCACAGCGATATGTCTGCGGACTTACAATGCTAGAATCCAGGTTTCGATACCCGTGGTGGGCAGAGCACAGATAGCCCATTGTGTAGCTTTGTGCTTAATTACAAAACAAACAAACTAAAAATAACTAAATATGACACCTGCGCTGTATAAACTATCAAAATCATAACCCTTGCATTAAACATAAACAGAAAGAGTTGTGTATACCTAACAGCTACACGTTGCTTTGAGCACAAGCAAGCTTCGTTGTGTCATGGAAATAGAATTATAAAGTGATTGTGGGTTTGAGATTTAAGCATTTTTGTAGGTTTTTAGTTTAGTATAAGGAAGTAGCTGAGAATTGCACTAATTTTTAAGCCCATTTGAAAATTATCCGCTATACCAGTAAAGGTCTGGCTCGTTAGACTACACAGTATAAGATATTCAAGCTAGACCTTCGACACCTCTCACTGAACAGAATGAAGCGCCTACGTGAAATTGATTGCAGCGGTATACGAATGTTTTTTGCCAGCGAAAGAAAAGGATTGGCACATGACAACCAAGGTACAGTACTACGTAGCTTTGCTGCTTCAATTGTAGAGAGTTGTTTAAATTAGCAATATAATTTAACAATTAGTAACTTCTCTGCATGTAGATAGTACAGTACTTTACTATAGTGAAATATCCATATTTATGATAATTTCAGTCTAGTCCCCATGCAGTGTTACAACAGAATGATGATTTGTTGACTTTTCATTGAATATTTGTGGATTATATGTGACAGCCATACAGATTGTTTAAGCTATATTTCATGCAAAATTGTTTCCAGATTTAATTTCGTGGGTATTAGCATTAGTATGTTTTGCATGCTAATTGTACTTTGCACAATATGTGTTGGCTCTTGATTTCACAAATTAGGATCCTCCCTTTCAAACATTCTGAGTACGGGCCTGATTATATATATATTTATATTTATCTCACAATAGATATTTTTTTATAATGTACCCGTTTCGTTTTTAG